AAGGGGAGATAGATTCAATGTTTGTAATGGCTCAGCCATTCCCAGTCCTTATTCAAACCGGAGTTGATTGAATCTATATGTTACATTCTATATGCATCCGAAGAAGTGGGCTGTAGTCCACGAAAGCTTATGCTCTAATAAATTTGTTAGTCTCTAAGGTGCCACAAGTACTCCTGTTCTTCTTTTTGCGGATACAGACTAACACGGCTGCTACTCTGAAACCTGTCATTATTGTTCTGGAGCTTTTTCTTCAGTAATTATGTTTTACAGTTGGCATTTTTGCATTTTCATGGTTTATGTATCTACATTATATTCAGTTTATTTTGGTGATGTTTTTTCATCTTTTCATTAGAGGTAATTAACTTCAGTTAGGAAGCAGTTGTGACTAATCAGAGCCTAGCTTAAAAAATCACAGCATCTCAGGAAGTGTATTACCAATTTTAGTTTGTCTTTTTTACTCTAGAAATCGTATATAATTTAAACATTCTGTTACTTAATAATAATAAATATTAAAAATACTGTATTTGGGGAAGTTGTGTGTTTGCCTGTATTTCAGTATAACTTCCTTTCAAGGTTGAGAAGGAACATAAAACCTTTGTGTATTTGATCTGCTCTAATTTTAAAATGTTCTGTTTTTAAAAATGTTTGCTTTTTTTGTGCACATTTGTTTAGTAAATAAAATGATCAGTTTTGTAATTATATTTATTTTTGCTTCTATAGTTTATTAAAGTTTTAATTGCGCCCTTAAAATTATTCCACTTTGTAAGTATTTAGCAAAGTGGTGGTGTGGCCAACAATATGTAATGCTTCTGCATTTTGGTATAAACAAATGCAGGGGTTCTCAAACTTCATTGCACCGCGACCCCCTTCTGACAACAAAAATTACTACCTGACCCCAGGAGGGGGGACCAAAGCCTGAGCCCACCCATGCCCCATCACCCTGGGTGGGGGGCCAAAGCTGAAGCTCAAGGGCTGCAGTCCCAGGCAGCTTTGTCCCCAGGCAGTGGGACTTGGGCTTCGGCCACAGGTAGTGGGACTCGGGCTTCAGCCCTGGACCCCAGCAAGTCTAACAGCAGCCCTGGCCCATTAAAACAGGGTCACGACCCACTTTGGGGTCCTGACCCACAGTTTGAGAACCGCTGAACTAATGTATTCCCCCCTCCTCCTCTCGCCAAAAAAAAATCTGGGTGGAAGAGAGGGGTGTAATACCATAATTCTCTTTAAGGGGCATTTTTTTAAACAATAATGCTATTTTCAGTCTGCATGTTGAATCATGCCATTCAGTTGAGAGTAGGGTGACCAGACGTCCCGATTTTATCGGGACTGTCCCGATATTTCCTTGTTTGTCCCGCGTCCCGACCGATGTGCGGTCAGGACACTGGACAAACAAGGAAATGCTCCGGAGCCTGGAGCACGGAAGGGCTCGCGCCCCCCAACCCCTCCTGCCCCAACTCTGTCCTCTCCTCCCCCCATTGGCTCCCTCCCCGAATCCCCGCCTCTTCCCCGGGCTCACCATTCCTCCTCCCTCCACAAGCGCTGGAGGGAGGCCCGGGAGATGCAGGGGGGAGCGCGGGGCCAGGGTGAGTGAGAGTCCAGCCTGGCCCCGAGTAGGCAGGACTCAGTCGGACAGTAGGGAGAGTAGGGGGGCGGCCCGCGGGGCCAGGTGGCGGCTGTTCTCCCCCCCGGGCAGCGGGACTCGGGAGCAGCCGCTGCTGCAGCTCCCACTGCCGCGGGGGGAGGAAGCGGCCGATGGCCCAGCTCGGCGGCTGCGGCTCTGGCGCCCGGGCCCGAACCCCCCTGAGCCTGTTCCCCTGCGGGACCCGAGCGGGACGGGGGGGGCTGGGACCTGCTGCCCCCACGTTGGGGCCGCCCAGGGATAGCACCAGCTGGGCAGCAGCCCAGACGCGACTGGCCAAGGGCTGGGCGCAGCGTGCGCGCTGCTGGGTCCCTGCAGCAGGCCCGGGCTTGGGGGGTTCGGGCCCGGGCACCAGAGCCGCAGCCACCGAGCTTGGCTATCGGCCTTTTCCTCTCCCCCCCTCCCGTGGCAGTGGGAGCTGCAGCAGTGGCTGCTCCCGAGTCCCACTGCCCAGGGCGGAGAACAGCCGCCGCCTGGCCCCGTGGGCAGCCCCCCTACTCTCCCTACCGCCCGACTGAGTCCTGCCTGCTCGGGGCCAGGCTGGACTCTCACTCACCCTGGCCCCGTGCTCCCCCTGTGTCTCCCGGGCCTCCCTCCAGCGCTTGTGGAGGAAGGGTGGTTTTTTTGTTTGTTTGTTTGTTTGTTTTTGGCCTCTCCCCCCTTCCTCTCCCCCCCCCTCTCCCGCGTCCCGATATTTGACTTGGGTGATCTGGTCACCCTAGTTGAGAGACATAAATAAATAGTGTTCTGGAGCAAATGCCTGTAAGTTTAGAAATGCAGAGTGATGTATAAAGTATATGTCTCTTTGAGGACTTAAACCTATGCTTAATAGTAAGAATCAGATTTGGTGAACACAGGTGTGAGATCAATAGTTAAGCCGACCTAACTCCCGGAGAAGATGCGGCTAGGTCAATGGAAGGATTCTTTCATCAACCTAGCTACTGCCGCTTGGAAAGGCGGATTAGCTACAGTGAAAAAATCCCTCCTGTCGCTGTAGGAAACATCTACTATGTGGCACTACAGGAGCACAGCTGCAGTGCTGTAGCGCCTGTAGTGTAGACAAAGTCTTAAATATGTAATAACTCAGTGGGATGACTAATGTGCATCAGTGTTTGCAGGATTGGGGCCTAAGTGTACAAGTATCTTTTTCAAAAAACTTTGTTTCAGCGATATATTACCATAGAGTTTTGCTGAAGCAAATACAACAAAGAGTCTGGTGGCACCTTAAAGACTAACAGATTTATTTGGGCATAAGCTTTCGTGAGTAAAAACCTCACTTCTTCGGATGCATGCATCCG